CCTAGGCTGCATTCCCAGACGGTTAGGCATTCTAAGTCACAGGATGAGGTAGGAGGTCAGCACAAGATATACGTCATACGGACCTGGCTGATAAAACAGCTTGCAGTAAAGAAGCGGGATAAAACCCGCCAAAACCAAGACGATGAAGAGATGACCTCTGGTCATCCTCACTGCTACACTCCCACCAATGCCATGACAGATTATAAATGCCATGGCAATGTCAGGAAGTTACACTGTAACAGTCTAAAAAAGACAGTAATAAGTAATTTACCGGCCGGGCACGGTGGCTCAAGCCTGTAATCCCAGCACTTTGGGAGGCCGAGGCGGGTGGATTACGAGGTCAACAGATCGAGACCATCCTGGTCAACATGGTGAAACCCCGTCTCTACTAAAACTACAAAAAATTAGCTGGACATGGTGGCGCGTGCCTGTAATCCCAGCTACTCAGGAGGCTGAGGCAGGAGAATTGCCTGAACCCAGGAGGCAGAGGTTGTGGTGAGCCGAGATCGCGCCATTGCACTCCAGCCTGGGTAACAAGAGCAAAACTCCGTCTCAAAAAAAAAAAAAAAAAAAAAAAGTAATTTACCCCTTGTGTAGCATATAATTAAAACTAGCAATAAAAATGGGCAACCAGACTGTGGAGGAAGCCATTCTTTTATTTCTTTACTTTCTTAATGAATTTGCTTTCACTTTATTCTATAGACTCACCCTGAGTTCTTTCTTGAGTGAAATCCAAGAATTCCATCTTGGCATTTGGATTGGGACTTCTTTCTGGTAACATTTTCCTGGCAACCACAAAGGGACTATACTGAAGAGACCTCTGACCCAAAGGAAAATTACCTGTGCACATTAATGGCTGACTTTGGGTAAGTGGGAGGCATATACTTCAGTAAACGAGGAGACTGGGTTAGAGGCCCAGTTTAGGGGAATTACAGTCTCTCCTAAAGTAGAGTGGATTAAAGTTTCCTTTTAATGAAAGGCAAGGATGCTTGATTGAACTTGGATTCGATGTCCAACTTAGGAAGGTTATGGTCCTTCCTAAGATTTAGAAGCTTAGACACCTCTCTCAGTAAAGTGCTTCTCAGCTAAGCACTGGTTTGGAACTATGGGATGTTAATTGCTATTCTCTTTGGACACTGTCTTACACTCCTTGTTGCTAGCTATGGGTGATAGAATTAGGCCTCTACAGGACTACGGAACACGGGGAGCTTTTTCCTCTTTAAAAGGGAAAACCTGAGAGCTGATAGGGCTCCTGGAAAATATACTTTTGCTATTGACAAGCGGCCACCTGAACTTTTCATTGTCCCTTCAATTGGTGGGTCTCCCTCTGGCCTCCCGGAGCTCTTTGCTTTCCCAATCCTGCCACAATCAATATTTTTTTCTCTCCTTTCCCTTTATTATTTTTCCCATTACTCAGGATGACCATCTTGCCCAGAGACCGTAAGTTGAAACTCCTGATCAGAGGTTGAATTAATGATGAGAGGGCCCAACTGGGGGCAAGTTTGAAACTTGCCAGTTTGATATTGATTGCTAAGTAGAGAGGCTAATGTCTATGTTTTGTCACACATGTTTTGCTCTGGCAAAAATGAAATAAGATAATTTTCTTTTGTGTTGTGGCTTGGCCCACAGGGCTGTGGTGCAGCCAACCATGTCACTAGAGCCACTCAGGGACAGGGAATTCAGAAGCTTGGCATACTTGCAAAAGCATACAAATTTCTTTTCTTTTTTTTTGCGTTGGAGTCTCATTCTATCACCCAGGCTGGAGTGCAATGCCATGATTTAAGTTCACTGAAACATCTGCCTCCCAGGTTCAAGCAATTCTCCTGCCTCAGCCTCCCAAGTAGCTGGAATTACAGGTGCCCACCACCATGCCCAGCTGATTTTTGTATTTTTAGTAGAGACAGGATTTCTTCATGTTGGCCAGGCTGGTCTTGAACACCTGATCTTAGGTGATCTGCCCGCCTCGGCATCCTAGAGTGAGTGCTGGGATTACAGATGTGAGCCACCATGCCTGGCCAAACGTGTACAAATTTTACCAATCAGACTTCTGGCTTCTCTCTATATGTGCAAGCTGCTTGAATAAATGGTAAAAATTACTGTTTATTTCCTCTGTGAAGTTTTGTTTTTGTTTTAAGATGCAGTCTTGCTCTGTTGCACAGGCTGGAGTACAGAGGCACGATCTTGGCTCACCACAACCTCTACCTGCCAGGTTCAAGCGATTCTCCTGCCTCAGCCTCCCAAGTAACTGGGACTACATGCGTGTACCGCCATGAGCAGCTAATTTTTCAATTTTTACTAGAGACGGGTTTCACTATGTTGGCCAGGCTGGTCTCAAATTCCTGACCTCATCATCTGCCTGCCTCGGCCTCCCGAAGTGCTGGGATTACAGGTGTGAGCCACTGTGCCCAGCCTCTCTGTGAAGTTTTAATTGGAACATGCATTTGTGGGGCTAGTCTTAAGCCGTTAACAAATCTGTTGTGCTTTGTGCTATAAATGTCTTTCTGTATTGTTCCATTATTAAGAGGGGTACCTTAGAATAGCATGCTGGCGTAGGACCCCATAAGCCTGCTGTTTAAGACGGCCCAGAAAGCTGATCAATCATGTCCTTGGAAGCTTGACTCTGTAATCATGTTACATTATTTTCTCTTGATCTCCACCATCACAGTGATGGCCCGGCTTCAGGGTTCAATTCCCAGCTCACAGAATGAGTAGTTTCTTGTTTATTTTGGTCATATTTTGATATTTTGTTGATTCTATTCCCCTCCAGGAGCTGTCTTGAAATTTCCTTTCTCAGAAAACCTTTGAAGTTACTTTTGTTGAAGTTCAAAAGCCAGAGATATTGGCTGTTTGGCCTGACTAACATCTGGTCATAAGTACTTTAAACGTTCCTTTTTGTTTGTTTGGTTTTTTGAGACAGTGTCTCACTCTGTTGCCCAGGCTGGAGTGCAGTGGTGCCATCTCAGCTCACTGCAAACTCTGCCTCCCAGGTTCAAGCAATTCTCTGCCTCAGCCTCCAGAGCAGCTGAGATTCCAGGCACACACAACCAAGCCTGGCTAATTTTTGTATTTTTAGTACAGAGGTGTTTCACCATGTTGCCCAGGTTGGTCTGGATCTCCTGACCTCATGAACCACCCACCTCAGGCTTCCAAAGTGCTGGGATTACAGGTGTGAGCCACTGTGCCTGGCCAATACTTTAAACTTTCTAAAAGAGCACTATGGTTAAAAGTCAGCTTAACTAACAGCAGATATTCAAGCTCTAAGAGCCTGGGACTCTCTGGGAAAAATACAAGGTGCCACAGACCCTATTTTTGAAAATACCCCTTTTTCCTCACAAAACCCCAGGAACTGAAAGTGGATAGATGTCTCTCAAAATGAGGTTCTATTCTCTTTTGCATTGCATTATCTGACATTTTTGGCTTTGTGGGTTATCAGAAATTATTTCATATTATTAAAAAAATGTGGTATGTAATAAAGTAAGAAATACGCTTTTGAGGATGGCTGATAGCAGTTATGGGGAAATACTCAGTTCTTCACGTTTGACTCAAAGACGCATACTCTTGACTGCCTAGGACATAGGGAGATGTACCCCCACAATGGCCCCAGTGAGAATTAAGACTTCCATAGGGATTAACTGATTCTCTCTTTTATAGATCCAAGATCTGAAGTAAAAATGAGACCCTTGGCTGGGAATGGTGGCTCATGCCTGTAATCCCAGCACTTTGGGATGCCAAGGCAGGTGGATCACAAGATCAGGAACTTGAGACCAGCCTGGCCAACATGGTGAAACCCTGTCTCTACTAAAAATAAAAAAATTAGACCGTGAATGATGGCTCACACCTGTAGGCCCAGCACTTTGGGAGGCCAAGGTGGGTGGATCACCTGAGGTCAGGAGTTTGAAACCAGCCTGGACAACGTGGCAAAATCCCTTCTCTACTAAAAACATAAAAATTAGCCTGGTGCAGTGGTGGGTGTCTGCAATTCCAGCTACTAGGGAGGCTAAGGCAGGAGAATCATTTGAGCCCGGGAGGCCAAGTTTGCACGCCAAGATCACGCCATTGCACTCCAGCCTGAGCAATACAGCGAGACTCCATCTCAAAAAAAAAAAAAAAAAAAAAAAAATTAGCCGGGCATGGTGGCACTCGCGTGTAGTCCCAGCTACTCGGGAGGCTTAGGCAGGAGAATTGCTTGAGCCCAGGAGGCAGAGATTGCTGTGAGCCAAGATTATGCCGCTGCACTCCAGCATGGGCGACAGAGTAAGACTCTGTCTCAAAAAAAAAATAATAATAAATAAAATAAAATAAAAATAATCCCACCTACAATAACTGTAGTAACTATATTTAAAAATAAATATGCGCAAAAGGGTGAAACATCTTACATTATAATCTAAAGAACATCAAGTAAAAAATTAAATAATATACAAATGGAAAAATATTACTTCAGTTATGAATTGGTATTATTAATATTTTTAAATATGTGTTTTACACAAAATGACCTACAGATATAATGTAACCTTTATCAAAATACCAGTGACATACTTCATAGAAGTTTTTAAAAATGTATCTAAAATTTTTATGGTAACACAAAAGACCCTGAATACCTAAGCAATCAAGCAAAAAAGAAAGGCTGAAGGTATCACACTGACTTTGAAATCTACTACAAAACAATAGTAAGCCAAAGAGTATGATAGTTAAATAAAAACAAAGACATAGGTCAATGGAGCAGAAAAGAGAGATCAGAAATATATCCATGTATTTACAGTTAACTGATTTTGAATATAGGTGACAATTTTATAGAAAAAGAACAGTATCTTTAATAAATGGTGTTGAGAAAACTTTATGGCCACATGCAGAGCAATAAAATGAGACCCCTAGTTAACACCACATATAAAAATCAACTAAAAATAAATTAGAAACTTAGATGTAAGATTTAAAACCCTGAAACTAATAGAAAAAATAGAGTGAAAGCACCATAACATTGCTCTGGACAGTGACTTTTTTGCTTTAACCTCAAAATTCCGGACGAGAACCTGTGGCTGCAGCAGCTGCAAGCACTAAGAAGGCAATGGCTAAAGGACCAGGAACTGAGCCCTCGCGAGCCGGTGCTGCCCCCCAGAGAAGATATGGCCTATGGAGAAATCCTGGAATAAGTTTTTGGCAAATAAGATCTCTTGGAGGAACATGGTCTATAAGGTATACATAAAGAGTATGTTTATTTTTACTCATGTACTTGTACCTGTCTGGATTGTTCATTATTACATGAAATATCATGCGGCTATAAAACCATATGCCATCGTTCAATTGAAGGCCAGAAAATTCCCAGGTGATACAACTGTGGAGACTGGAGAAGTAATTCAACCTATGAAAGAATTTCCTGATCAACATCATTAAAGATTATGTAAAAATTTAAAAGGCTCATGAACCTAAGTTTGTTCCTACATAACCATATTTACTGAATTTTCTGGAACAGTAACTTAATAAACTTTATTCTCAGAAATTGTCAATTTCTTTTCAGCATTGTACAATTTGAGACTGAGTAATTTAACAATAAATAAAAACTGGATATGCTAAACAAAACAAGAAAAGGAAAATGTGGTAGATATACACTATGGAATAGTATTCATCTAAAAAATTCTATTATTTTCCTTTTTTTAATTGTACTTTAGGCTCTGGCGTACATGTGCAGATCACGCAGGACTGTAGCATAAGTGCACACATGGCAATCTGGTTTGCTGCCTCGATCCCCCCGTCACCTACATCTGGCATTTCTCCCCATGTTATCCCTTCCTGACCTCCCCACCCCCCACCCCCACACCCTCCCACCACTGTCGCTCCCTTGACCACCCCCAACAGACCTCAGCAGTGTGTGATGCTCCCCTCCCTGTGTCCCTGTGTCCTCACTGTTTAACAGCCACCTATGAGTGAGAACATGCGGTGTTTGATGTTCTGTTCTTGTGTCAGTTTGCTGAGAATGACGGTTTCCAGATCCATCCATGTCCCTACAAAGGACATGAACTCATAACTTTTTATGGTTGCATAGTATTCCATGGTATATATGTGCCACATTTTCCCTGTCCAGTCTATCGTCGATGGGCATTTGGGTTGGTTCCAGGTCTTTGCTATTGTAAACAGTGCCACTATGAACATAAGTGTGCATCTGTCTTTATAATAGAATGATTTATAATCCTTTGGGTATATACCCAGTAATGGGATTGCTGGGTCAAAAGGAATATCTATTTGTAGGTCCTTGAGGAAGTGCCACACTATATTACACAATGGTTGAACTAGTTTACACTCCCACCAACAGTGTAAAAGTGTTCCTTTCTCTTCACATCCTCTCCAGCATCTGTTGTCTCCAGATTTTTTAAAGACTGACATTCTAACTGGCATGAGGTGGTATCTCAATTTGGTTTTGATTTGCATTTCCATAATAATCAGTGATGATGAGCATTTTTTCAAATGTTTGGTGGCCTCATAGATGTCTTCTTTTGAAAAGTGTCTGTTCATATCCTTCACCAACTTCTGTGTTTGGTTTTTTTCTCGTAAATTTGTTTTAGTTCTTTGTAGATTCTGGATATTAGTCCCTTGTCAGATGGGTAGATTGCAAAAATTTTTTCCATTCTGTTGGTTGCCGGTTCACTCTAATGATTGTTTCTTTTGGTGTACAGAAGCTCTGGAGTTTAATTAGGTCCCATTTGTATATTTTGTTTTTTGTTGCCAATGCTTTTGGTATTTTAGTCATGAAGTCCTTGCCTATGCCTATGTCCTGAATGGTTTTGCCTAGGTTTTCTTCTAGGGTGTTTATGGTGTTAGGTCTTATGTTTAAGTCTTTAATCCATCTGGAGTTAATTTTAGTGTAATGACAGGAAGAGGTCCAGTTTCTGCTTTCTGCACATTGCTAGCCAGTTTCCCCAACACCATTTATTAAACAAGGAATCCTTTCCCCATTGCTTTTTTTTTTGTCAGTTTTGTCAAATATCAGATGGTTGTAGATGTGTGGCATTGCCTCTGAGGCCTCTGTTCTGTTCCATTGGTCTCTATCTGTTTTGATACCAGTACCATGCTGTTGTGATTACTGTAGCCTTGTAGTATAGTTTGAAATCAGGTAGCGTGATGCCTCTGGCTTTGTTCTTTTTGCTTAGGATTGTCTTGGCTATGCACTCTATTTACTTGAAAAATCTTCCTCCATCCCTTTATTTTTAGCCGATTTGTGTCCTTGCATGTGAGATGGGTTTCCTGAATACAACACACCAATGGGTCTTTACTTTTTATCCAATTTGCCATTCTGTCTTTTGATTGGGGCATTTAGCCCATTTACATTTAAGGTTAATATGGTTATGTTTGAATTTCATCCTGCCATTTTGATGCTAGCTGGATGTTTTGCCTGTTAGTTGACATATTTTCTTCATTACGTTGATGGTCTTTACCATTTGGTACATTTTTGGAGTGGCTGGTACTCGTTGTTCCTTTCCTTGTTTAGTGCTTCTTTCAGGAGCTCTGTAAGGCGGGCCTGGTGGTGATGAAATCTCTCAGCAATTGCTTGTCTGTAAAGGATTTTATTTCTCCTTCACTTATGAAGCTTAGTTTGGCTGGATATGAAATTCTAGGTTGAAAGTTCTTTTCTTTAAGGATGTTGAATATTGGCCCCCACTCTCTTCTGGCTTGTAGAGTTTCTGTGGAGAGATCCACTGTGATTCAGATGGGTTTCCCTTTGTGGGTAACCTGATTTTTATCTCTGCCTGCCTTTAGCATTTTTTTCCTTCATTTCAACCCTGGTGAATCTGACGATTATGTGTCTTGGGGTTGCTCTTCTTGAGGAATATCTTTGTGATGTTCTCTGTATTTCCTGGACTTGAATGTTGGCCTGCCTTGCTAGGTTGGGGAAGTTCTCCTGGATAATATCCTGAAGAGTGTTTTCCAGCGTGGATTCATTCCCTCCATCACATTAAGGTAACCTATCAAACATAGATTAGGTCTTTTCACATAATCCCATATTTCTTGGAGGCTTTGTTCATTTCTTTTCACTCTTTTTTCTCTATTCTTGAATTCTCATTTTATTTCATTGAGTTGATCTTCAATCTCTGATATCCTTTCTTCTGCTTGGTCAATCTGGCTATTGAAACTTGTGTATGCTTCATGAAGTTCTCGTGCTGTTTTTTCAGCTCCATCAAGTCATTTATATTCTTCTCTAAGCTGTTTATTATAGTTAGCATCTCATCTAACCTTTTTTTTACATTCTTAGTTTCTGACAAACAAGGTGAAACTCCGTCTCTTAAAAAAAAAAAAAGAGGTTTGGAAAGATTGAATTATTTAAAAAATTAATAAAAATAATATTAATGCAGGAAAGAGAAGCAGAAATTAAATTAAAAAATTTTTATTTTATAATCAAACTTCCCTGAGTCCTTCTCCCTCCTGTGGAATTGTATCCTGCTTTGCAAGTTTTATAAATTTATAGATTCTTGTATTCTTGTTCACTACACCTGATAACTGTAAGATTCTGTAACACAGTGAAGGTCCTTTGCATTGGGTTAGCACATGTTCTTTTAGCTCTGAGAAGTTTGTTATTACCCACTTTTTGAAGCGTGTTTCTGTCAATTCATCAAATTCATTCTCCATCCATCTTTGATCCCTAGCTGGTGAGGGGTTGTGATCCGTTGGAGGAGGAGAGGCATTCTGGTTTTCGGTGTTTTCATCCTTTTTGCTCTGGTTTCTTCCCATAGTAGTGGCTTTATCTACCTGTGGTCTTTGTAGTTGGTGACTTTCAGATGGGGTCTGAGAGGACGTCATTTTTGTTGATGTTGAAGCTATTTAGTTCTGTTTCTTAGTTTTCCTTCTAACAGTTAGGCCCCTCTGATGCAGGACTGCTGGAGGTCCACTCCAGACCCTGCTTGCCTAGGGATCACCCGTGGGGGCTGCAGAACCCTAGTTGTTGCTGCTGGTTTCTTCTTCTGTTATCTTTGTCCCAGAAGGGCACCTGCCAGATGTCGGCCTGAGTTCTCCTTCATGATGTGTCTCTTTGGGTATGTGGGGGTTGGGGAGCTGCTTGAGGAGACAGTCTGTCCGTTATAGGAGCTCAAGTGCTATGCTGGGAGCTCCGCTGTTCCACGCAGAGCTGCTTGGCAGGTACCTTTAAGTCTGCTGCAGCTGAACTCATAACCAACTCTTTCCCCAGGTGCTCTGACCCAGGAAGGTCAGCTTTATTTATAAGTTCCTGATGTGCTGCTGCCTTTTTTCAGAGATGCCCAGCCCCGCACGGAGTAGTCTAGTCACAGTCTGCCAGCAAAGGTGTTGCTGAGCTGCCACAGGCTCTGCCCAGCCACTGTGTGAACTGCCTCAGTATTGGTGGATGCACTTCCCCCCACTGAGCTGGACCGTCTTGGGTCCAGCTGTGCTTGCTGCGAAACTCTCAATACAGTGTTTCAGATTGCTTGTTTTGTGGGGGTGGTACCTGCCAAGCCAGATCACCTGGCTCCCTGTCTCAGCCCCGTCCCTTTCAGTTGAATGGGCAGCTCTGTCTCCCAGACATTCCAGGTGCCTGTTGAAACGGGTGCCCAGATTTGTGTGAGTTTCTGTGCGTCTACCCCGTGGCACCAGCCGTGCTGAAAACTCGTGGCACTTTTCAGCCTGGGAATCTCCTGGTCTGTGGGCAGGGAAAACTTGTTTGGAAATACGGTGAGCACTCACCTGCACTGTTCTTGCTGGGAACTGCCCTCCAGAGCTGTTCCTGTTTGGCCATCTTGGATCGCCCCCCCCCCAAAAAAAATTCTATTATTTTCAATCGCATTGATTAAACTGGAAAATGTTAGTTGAAATTAGCCAGGCACAGAAAAATGAATATTTCATGATTTCATTTACACATAGATTTTAAATAACTTAATCTCATCAAAGTAGAAAGTAAAATGGTGAGGCCAGGTGCAGTGGCTCACACTTGTAATCCCAGCACTTTGGGAGGCCAAGGTGGGTTGACCATGAGGTCAGGAGCTCGAGACCAGCCTGGCCAAGATAGTAATCCCTGACTCTACTAAAAATACAAAAATTAGCCGGGTGTGGTGGCAGGTGCCTATAATCCCAGCTATTTGGGAAGCTGAGGCAGGAGAATTGCTTGAACCCAGGAGGCGGAGGTTACAGTGAGCCAAGATCATGTCACTGCACTGTAGCCTGGGTGACAGAGTAAGACTTCAACTCGGGAAGAAAAAAAGGGAAAGCAAAATGGTGACCACCAGATGCCAATATATTCAGAAAAAGAGAAGTTTGAGGTCGGGCATGGTGGCTCACCCCTGTAATCTCAGCACTTTGGGAGGCCGAGGTGGGTGGATCACCTGAGATCAGGAGTTCGAAACCACCCTGACCAACAAGGTAAAACCCCGTCTCTAAAAAATAAATAAATAGAAAAAAAGAAAAAGAGAAGTTTC